AATGCCTGACAAGTCAAACAAAACGTACAAAAAGGAGCATTTTCAGATTAGCAATGTCAATGCGGTGCGGTGCTTCGGAAATGTCGGGAATAAATTGCCATCAGCCAGCCTTTGTCATCGGGATGCCTGTCCGCCAGTCAGTCTGTCTGCGTGCGTGCGTGTGTGTCCTTTTTCACTGGCTGAGGGGCAACGATTTATCGCACATGATATTTGTCAAGAAATAAAGCAGATAGATAGAGATAAAGAAGATACAAACAAACACACACACAGAAAGAAAGAGAGATACAAAACAGCAACAGCCTGTCAGCAGATTTGTTGTTGATGTTTGATGTTGCGGGAGAGCCTATGAAAAGACGATAAATGAGTCCGATTCCGGGTTACAGGAGCAAACAAAGATGATGGCCAACAAATTAGGGTATCTCGAAAGTGGGTTACATATCTCTGGGTTACTTGGCTGCCCTGCCACACCGTCTCCTTTGTGATCCACTTAGGATCCCAAAATGTTGCTAAACTTTGAGTTTTTATCAGCGTCCAGGCGTCTGCTGAGATAACACAACAAAGAGTGGAAAGAGAGAGAGAGAGGGAGAGAGCAAAGTGCAGCACATAACGTAAACTATTTACTGATAAGAATATACACACACAAACACACACACTTATGGGAGTACATGGGAGAGAGAGAGAGCAGTGAAAAACGGCTGAGCAAACACTTGCAAACCCAGCACAGCACTCGACAGTTTTGTAGATAAAGTATCTACAAGATACAACAACAGCAGCAGCAGCAGCAGCAGCAGCAGCAGCATGGGCACAGAAGAGAACAGAACCGAAACAACAACTCTCACTCTCCCCCATTCTCACTCTGACTTGTTTCTCTCTCTCTCTCTCTCTCTCTCTCTCTCTCATTTTCTGCTCTCCTTCCTTCGCTCTTTTGTGGCGCTCTCTCTCCCTCTCTCTCTCTCTGTTCACAAGTATCTTCCGCTCTCTGTCATTAGCAAGTGTTTGAAACTCGTAGATACTTTGGGTCGCCTGCCTGCCTGCTGCTTGCCTGCCTGCCTGCCTGTCTGCCTGCATGCCTCTGCCTCTGCCTCTCTTCGTGTTCTGACTTGAAACCCATTTCGTTTTTAATTATTTTCAGTTTCGAATTTAGTTGTATTTGATTTTCACAAACTCGCGCACTGCCCCGTCCGTTTGCCGTAGCCGTTGCCTCCCGCTTCTTCCTCCGCTCACTAATGTACGAGTATTTTTGAAGTTTCCATTCGGAATATCCATCGGAATTGTTGAAGTGAGTGTCGTTTTAACGTGCCATTGAGTGCTGGGAATCATTGCCGCTGACAATTTGTTATGTGAGAAGAGGGAAGGCCCCTTCCTCTAGCCCTCCTCCTGACCACACTCGTAAAGTGGTTGAGGGCCTGCACTCGAAATTTGTGTGGTGGCGCCCCAAAACAGAACAGAGCAGAACAGAAAAATAAACGAATTGTGCCCAGAGAAAAATGCTGCTTATCAAGCAGCCGCACAAACAAGCCTTTCAATTAAGATACAAAACATAAATCTTTGCGCCTTGCGACAATGGTGCCTCGTTATGTGGAGAATGCGGGCATATAGAGAATGGCACAGAGAATCGCGTGTCCGTCCGCCACCCAATTTTAGCTTCTAAAAACCCTCCCAAAACTCTTTCCCAACTTCTGATGTCATACCCACGAGACAGACTTGACTCTATTTTGATTTCTCATTTCTCGTTTTGAACTGCAAACAAGTTGCTCACGAGTGTTCAGCATATTGGATGTTCGCCAGACAGACAGTGCACGAGGGGGGCGCGAAGCCATTGATTTTCTACTCGGAAATAACCCCTCTTTGAGAGGCTTCCACCAGCCACGTCTCTGACCGCCTTATCGACAACAAAAATACTACAAAATAACGAAAATAAACCTTATCGCCGACGTCTCCGCTCGAGTGATAACTGTGTGCGCTCCGCACGACAGGCAGATAAGTTGTACGTACTCCTATGTTCGAATACGACAATTCTCCCGGGCGAAAGAAGTACTAGTTGCAGAGTAAATGAAGCACTTCTCATATGCTTCTTGGGTTATTGTATTATTTTCTTGTACAAAGAACTTTAAAGATAAACCCGAAAGTGACAAAATAGACGGAGAATCGTTTCTTTACTATGTACAGAGTCGGGGAGTTTTCGTTCTTGTTTTGTTGTGCTGTAGAAAATTGCAATCTTTAGAAAAGAGAAATTGTTGCAGAGGCATCGAACCAACTGGCTTCAAAGAACTCTTGTTAAAACTTGAATTCTTCATTCAATTTTGATACATAAAACCACAAACATAAATTTATATGCTACATCTTGAGAATAGCACAACCTGTTTCCGCTCAAGGCCTTGTTGTCCACCCCCAAATCTCTGCTGATTTGTATGATTTGGTGGTGTCCGGGGGAATCACAGAAATCCTTGGGCTGATTGGAGAGTGCATTCCATTACGTAAGGCCGCCGGGGAGGCAGCTGTTTCGCATTCATCACCATTAACACATTTTCGGCTTTACTGCATCAATGACGACGCTGGCTGCGGTGTCGTTTTGGCTGCTCCGGCATCATCGTCATCGCCACCGCCACCGCCTTTTCTTCTAATCGGGGCACAAATTGTTTTTTGCTGCAACCATTTTTGCCGTTGCATTTCAAGGACACAAAAACCCAGAGTGCCATAGCGACAGAGAGTGAGAGAGAGGGAAAGCGAAATGTCGAGCACTTTGCGTGCCTGCAGGGTGGGGTGTGGAGCATGGCGTGCGGCTTGTGGCAGGGGACCTGGCCCAGCGGCATGGCATCTCTCGTGGGTTCGCCACTTCTGAGGGATTTGTGACCCGACTGCAGTTGAAATTTGATTGCCAAGTTTTAGTTCTTGTGCATTTATTATCCGCCTTTTGTTTCGGCATCGATTGTCGCCATTTTGTGGCATTCCAAATGGGAATTCTAAAAATATTCTATAACAAATGAACAGAGCAGAGAACAAATATCATTAAATGAATTAATTGAAAAACTGAAATGCCAAGCCGAGGCGCAAAAGCAACTGGTTCTCGCATCCGAAAAGAAACTCGTTCTGCTGCGAAGGCATCTCCTCCTGCTGCTGCTGCTGCTGCTGCTGCTATTGCTACTGATGCTAAAATGTATCTTTAGTTTTTTGTATTTGTATCTGTTGTTTACTAATTCCTTAAGTAAATGCAAATTTGTGCGGCTTACTCGTTTTGCTACAGGTGCCACACAAACAGCCAGAGCCACAGAATTTAATGGCGAATGAAATACAATTACGAATATGTATCTGATGGTACGCATTCGTTGAGTGCATATGTAGTTATCTTAGCATTGAACGTTTCCCTGCCTCTGCCATGTCTTCGATTTATTGCTCATTTTGCTTTGTGGTCACTGTAAAAAACATAAGAAGAAACACAAATACAAATACTAATACAAAATAAACCACACACACACATCGCATTCAATGGTCAAGGTCGTTCGCAGTCAAATCGAAATCCAACACTTGGACACTTAGAGTGCCCCTACAAACGAGTGGTATACCAACATCAGCAGCCAAGCAGCAGCAGCAGCAGCAGCACTACCACAAATATAACAACAAAATACACAAAAATGTTTGTATAATTAAACGCCATTTTAAACAAATAAATGCGCGTTGTCTGTCACTGCAAAATGTTGTGTTGCTGTTGGCTTTTGGCTTTTGGGTTCGTTTTTGGATTTTTCAGCTGGCGCATTTTTAATTAGCAATGAAATCATAATAAAATAAACCAACTCATGCATAGTTGAGCTGCAAGTTTTGAATTTTCATTGCCGTGCACGCTCAGCTTAAACTTGCTCAGGTTTTGATTTGCTTTTGAATAATTATGATCGACTTTAAGGAGGGGGTTTTGCAGAAGATTATGGATAGTTTAGCAACCATGAAATAGGTTGAATAATAAGATGATTATCGAATGCCTAATGGGAACTGCGTATACAGAGAGATGAAATTAATGTAATACATATTGTGATTATCATATCCTTATGTCTCCATGTGGTGGGGGTACCATTGAAATATTTATTTATAAGACAGGGAATCTGCCATCCTATAATTGACCCATATATATTAAAAAAAACTAAACAACCGACGAGGGAACCTTTAAACTTGCATTTACATATACATATGTCACCATATGGGTGCTCTTTTATGCAGAGTACTAAAGTCCAGTATCCCTCCGTAACATTTCTATGGATTCCAGTGATTCATTCCGTCGTCTGCTTACCATCCAGCCATTCCACACACATATGCTCAACATTCACAAATGCTTGATTCAAACAACTTGTTGGCTCTAATTCAATCTATGCCTCAATCTCTCTGTTTCTCTCTCTCTCTCTCTTTCGCTCTGTTTCAATCATTTGCCTGCCTGCCTTTGATATGTGAATGCCTCTCCTTCACAACACCAATCCACGCTTTTCAGAAGATACTCGTGTTTACCTCTCTCCCGCCAGAACCATGTCCCTGCTCCGCCCTCATTGTGTATATATATACAGCATCACAACGAATCGAAATCAAGCGAATACATATACCCCGTCCTTGCCCACCAATACTGTTTGTATCTATCTAAATGTTACTCACTTGTGTGTGTTTTACTACTCGCGAGAACTGCATTGCCACACTCCAACAGATGCTGAATCCACAAATGTATTCCCATACCTATTCCTGTATCTGTTGGATCGGTTGCAGTGCAGTGGAACATACTCGTACCTATATATTTGCCTAAATGTTTACTGTATGTACGTATATTTATTATTGCTGCATAATTCACTCATAAATATTTTTTTCTTTTTTCTTTTTTTCATATAAACGTTTACCAAAAAAAAAAAACAAAACAAAAATCGCACATTCCACCACAAAACCACCAAATAAAAAAATATCAAAAAACTAAAAATCAATAATAATCGAAACTAAAACCAAAACCAAACAATAAATGCATTGAAATCTAGAAGGATCATAAAGATATATAGAGTACATGCATAAATGTGTGTGCACATGGTTTGGCGTCCATCAACTGTCACTGTCACGATTACGATAGCCGAGAGCGGATTGATCGATTGATTGATAGCGGTAGCGATTACGATAACGATACCGATACCGATAGCCCTAGCTGTAACTGTGTAAACGATAGCCTGCACCTGCGCCTGCGCCTATGCCCATCGCTAACCCGCTGTGTGTGTGTGTGCATGTGTCCCGGCATCAGTAGAGCGCCCCAGGACCTCCTGCGACTGACTGGCTGCTGCTGCGACTACCGCCACCACAGCAACCGCCAGCGTCACCAGCGCCACCATCGCCGCCGACTCCTCATCATCCCAGCCACGCCACCATCGCTCACATAGCCCATCATACTTTCAGATGACAGTTGCGGATCCCCCCAGATACAGATAGAGATACAGAAAAACACACTGAGATCGTTTGTTCGCTCGCCCGCCCGCCCGCTCGTACGCTCGCTCTGTCGCTCTGTCGTTCGCACGCACCTAAAGCCAAACAGAAATCCAACCAACAAAAGCAAAACAATCAAACAAAAAATCAAGAACAACAAAAATCAAGCCAAAAACTAAATAATACCAAGCTCAACCAGACGCCTCATTACCAAACATCGAACGTTTGCGCTGTCGTTCAAAGGAGCGACTCGAATCGAATCAAATCAAATTGAATCAAAAGCGAAACATATACCAAAAGTACCAGTAGCAAAAACGCATAAGCAAAACGTAAACGTTAACGCAAACGCAAAAGCAATCATCAGTCAAAGTCGATAACCCAAAAAGCAGTCAACATTCAGTTAAAAATGGCCGAAGACGGTACCATGGAGACATGTCCAAGTCCTGAGATCGGCGATTCGCGCAAAAGGCCGCTCGATTCCGATCCGGAAAATGAACAAACTAAACGCTCACATTTCAGTTCCGGTAAGTTGATCAAAATCCAAATCCAAATCAAATCCAATTCATTCAAAAAAAAAAAAAAGAAAAGAGAAGAAAAGAAAGAAAAAAGAACAGACCAAGAAAATCAGAAAAGAAAAGAAACAGAAATTATTTCAATCGCTCTTGCATATTCCATTATCGTGCTCTCTCTCTCTCTCTCTCTCTCTATCTACCTCTCTCTCTCTCTCCCGTTCGTTATCTATCCACTGCTCTTTATCTCAGATCCGCAGCGTATAAATAACTCATTGAATTTTTCGCCTAACTTTTTGATCGCCGAATCGTGCTGTTTTTACCTTACTTTCTTTGTTGTTAAGTCAATTTTCGATGTTACTGCAATATTGTATCGTATGTAAATACATTTATATATCCCTGCCATCAGATCAATCCTACTCCCAGTCCTGCCCCAAGAAGCCTTTAATCGCTCCCTCTATCACTGTATCTCAAAATGTTGTGGCTTTTCATTGTCGTTGTTCTTTGTTTGTTTTAAGTAATTTCAATTAATCCGCACGGAATGGGCAATGCAGTTGTGCCCTCAAAACGTACGTTTCTGATTTTGATTTGTAATTAAGTCCGATATAGGGCATACACCCACAGGGCCCGGCCCCCAAAAACACAATCTCATGCTGCTGCTCCTTGCATGACAACTGGCATCTGGCATTTGGCTGGGTCGAATCTTTGCGCAGGATTTGGCGCCGAGACACTCTGGGCCCAGTTTGACCCATTTTCCCAATGACCTCCGACTGCAGGATGGCGTCGGGTGCTGTGCCGTGCCGTGCCGTGCCGTGCTGTGCTGCACTCCACCCAACATCAATGGCTTGCAATTAGATACAAGTACGAGAACGAGACTGGCCCTGAGCTGGCGCTGCTTCTGATGCTGACGGACCGACTGCTGCTTGACTGAAAGAGACCATAATGAATGACATTTGAGCTGAGCTGCTTCGACAGGCTCATTTGTTTGGGCAGCTACTTCTCCAGTTCATATTTTCCTCAAGAGTAGGTCGACCTGCCATTCATATGCAAAGTCAAAGATTAGCGCGCGCTCAAAAGAAGCTCCAACGTCAGTCAGTCAGTCAGTTAGTCAGTCAGTAAGTCATTCAGCCATTGCCAAACCCCATACAAAGTGTGTGTTTGACCACGAGCCATTAGCTAGTTGCTTGCTTTGCATGATTTGTTCGGGCCAAAACCAGCTGGCAGGCAGTCAGGCTGCCTGGCTGGCTGGCTAACAGCCCCAAGGTGAGCCACGACGACAGGTACTTCGATTGCGTCGCTGTCGTCTGTCGTCTCTTGTCTCTCGTCATAGATACAAAAATAGCAAAGGTGTAAATGTTAGAGTCTGTTTGAGTGTCGCCCCCGCGGCAGCCCGCAGGCATGGCCAAGCCTAACATTTGATATTTAGATACGAGTATATACGATACGTATAGATAGATACTCTTACACTCGTGAGAGCCCCAACAGCTGAAACACGTTTTCAAACATTTCTTAATTGCCGTTTGAATGACTGAATGATGGACTTAACTTGCCAAAAAGTCTCTTTGTCAATTGGGAACATCGGGTGGATGATGGGCTACGAATAATGACATGATTTTCGTTTTACAGAGTAGGCAATGGGAACAAAACCATTCAATTCCCATACAGATTCAAGTAATTGTATTATATTTTAAAACGAAACAAAAATCAATATTTTAAAGTGCCATCTAAATTTTGAGTGTTAAAAGTAATTTGTTGTTTATGGTTGACTGGGAATGCGGAAATCTAGTAAGTTGAAATATTAGTAAGGTAAATATTCTTACGAATCTTTGGATATTTTTGTTGAATTTTACATATTTGCTTTGGTCATTGATTGATGGGCTTTTTGTTTCGGGTGTGAAAATGATTAGTTTTTCTTTGCTTAGCTGCAAGGTCTTCGCTCCAACATTGAGATGGGTTGAGATGTGTTTGTTTGCGTTTGTGGATACAGCTGCACTTGTCATTAATGAGCCACCATTAAAGCCATTGTGCATTGTCTTCTGCTCTGTCTTTGCTGTGGACGCTGCGGGACATGTCCGTGTCATGTGTGTATGTGCATTGCTTATTAGTTGCCATCGAATTTATTTGCTTAGCTGTCTTCATAGTCACTTATTTATTAATATTTATTTCGTTTGTGTTCTGTTTTCTGTCTTCTGGCTATTGTTTGTTATTTACGTCTGTCAGAATAGAATTATACGAGTTTTTAGAAGCTGTCAGAAATAGTTGAAAAACCACAAAAAAACACATTTTCAACACATACACGCGGGGAAAAACAGCTTCAAAGAAGGTGGTAGGCAGGGTCTGGTGGGTCTTGGGGGATCTGGGGTTGGAAATGCGTCAGCAGTGACTGAGGCTGCAAAGGAAATGCAGTAGAAAATGAGAAAAATAAGGGGGCGGCGGGTCAACGTGTCGGGGTCGGAGCTGGGGCTTATGTAATCAATGCTGGAATATTATGTACGTGTGTGTCTGTGGGAGGGATGGGGTTGCATCATTGGGGGTGTATAAGCATAGAAGTCGAGCCGAGCCATAAGCCGAGCGCATAAAAGACGAGCACCGCCACACAGAGGCGGAGAGAGAGAGAGAGAGCAACGAGAGCTGACAGCAGCGGCGAGCGTTTGACCTACTTTGATGACAATGCGGGTGCGAAGTGTGCGTGTGACCACGCTCTCGTATGTGTGTGTGCTTGTGGCAAGTGCCTAGGCAAAAGTCCTGCGCAGTGGCTGCCAGACCCAGGGCAGGAGCTGCACTGCAGCATTTGGCGCCATTGCAGCCTGCCACAGAGACATAGACAGAGGCAGAGGCTGCCTTGCGACAGCCAACGTCCTTGGGTACCGCTATGTAACTGGGTTGGCAGCTTGCTGCTGCTGCTGCTTCTGCTGCTGTTGCCTGGTCACATCTCAAGTGCGTTTACTGCCCGCGGGGGCCAGCACCACCCACCTCCCTCGCTCTCTTTGAATCGCACTCTCGCTCTCTCTCAATGTTTTTGGTATCTCTCTGGCGTGTTTTTGGGTTACCTTATTCTTAGGTGCATTCTATTGTTGCAGCTCAAGTATTGCTGCCACTGCTGCTGTTGCACTTGTAGAGCATCTCCGCCCCGCCTTGCCCCGGCCCCTGCTCTGTCCTGGCCTGGCCTCAAGTGGCCTACTAATAACTCGAGGGCCAACTATTGTGGCACGAGTGGTAGCTTCCCTTTCGACCAGTGATTAGGCCAGAAAAGGGAATAGGCCAATCAGGCTCGCCTTTGGCTTTGCCTTTGTGCCATCCAATCAATTGGGTCACATGAAAAGATATTACGCATACGCAGTGTATGCGTTGTTTGCATGTGTGCGAGTGTGCAGCTATCCCTCCTAGCTTGTGGATCATTGGGAAATGTGTTAAATGCTTATTGAATGGCAAATCCGAATGGGGATGGATCCGCATTGGTTTCCGCTCCAAACGTGACACGTTCACTCTTTTGCTTACTTATCAACAACTCATTTCGGCATAGAGCTGGCCTGGCTGTTGATTTTGGTATCACATGTTGCCACAGCAGTTTCTATTTTCGGCACACGCCCCCCAATCTGTCGCTCTCTCTATCTCTGTTATGATCTCCCTCTCTGCGGCTCTTTCACTCTATGACTGGCTCTCTCTCTCTCTATTTGCTGTGCTGATAATGGAGGAGCGACTAAAGTGAGGCAATCAACGAGTAAGCGTCCGAGTCCGTCCACGCCATTAGATCATACGCACACAGACGGCCACATCATCTCTGGGTATGATCGCACACTCGTGACTCATTAGCCAATGCTCTCGCACCATTCGCTCGCCCTACGTCTCGCTCCACGCGTCTCTCTCTCCATGTGGGGCTGGTCTCTCTCGCTCTCGCTCTCTCTCTGTCTCTCTCTCTTCCGAACTCTATGCTTGAGTCTGGTCTCCGTCTCCGTCTTCGGCGCACGGAATTCTTCAGTTCGCAGTTCGGTTCAGTCAGTCGCTCGTTTCGTGCGCTCGCTCGTCGTCGCTCCAGCTCCGTTCCAGCTCCCACACCCGCTCCCCGCCCTCGCTTCCGCGCGCCACCTATTCCGATAGAGACACTCTACATTGGCTACCCAGGCAGAAGTATGTTGTTTGCCAGAACAACGACACCCAACACCCCCACAATGATGCAGCAGCCGCAGGAGAATCTCCTCCTCCAACAGCAGCAGCAGCCACAACAGCAGCACCAACTGACGCCATCGTTTCAATTACAGCAGAGTTTCTGTATGTGTTAAGTGCAATTTGGTTATAAGTTTTTCCATTGTATCTTTGATATCTCCTCCGCCCCTTATCTTGTATCTCCCATATCTTTCGCTCTCTCTGAGTGTGTCTGTGCTTTCGTGTTGACCTTGGCAATTAGCGTGTGCTGCAATGCCACGAAAAACTTTACCTAACAATTATAAACATGGGGTTTATCTGCCCCGCAGCTTTAAACAGTGCGGAGACACACCGCTACGTATGCGTAATATTCCAATATGAATATTAGGCAACACACTCGAACGACAATTAACTTGCTGTCAACTCGGTTTATCTAGTATTTCAAGGCCAACAGCAGCAGCAACGGCCCCACCAATGGGTTGGGTGCGTTCGCTCTTTTTATTATCTCGCATGCCAAACGTTTCGATTGTGTTTCGATTTGAGACTCCAGTTGGAAATACTTTTCCATAAATATTTGAATTTGAAAACCCACTCGCACACATACACTCGAAGACAGAGTAGAGCCACAAATTCAGTTCAATGTCAGGCAGGCAATAATGATTATTCAGAGACGCAAAACTGAAAACTAAACCAAAACGAATGCCTTGGACAACGACAACGACGGCGTCAACCCAACATGAAGTTTGACCTCAGCAGAGCTCGACCTGGTTTGGGGGGCTTTATCAGTGGATTCTTGAAATCAATTCGAAGCGAATGTCCACTATAATTAATTCAAGAGTCGCGCTGCCAGTCCGCCTCACGGTCCGCGTATGTGTGCTCGAGTACTTAGGCCAATCCAAAAGCAAAAACAAAACGAAACCAAAAAAAACAACACAAAACTATAAAATCTCGACTTGATTTGAGGTTGAAATGCGGGAAGCAAATGTAACCTTGAAAATTGATTTGAATGTGGGCAAACATGTCTCGCTCGCTCTCTCTGTGTGTGTGTGTTGTGTGTGTGTCCGTGCATGAAAAAGCCAAAAATAAGTTGAGACACTCGCTCACATGCTCATACTCGTATGAGCCACGATACCCCCACATAGTAATGCCCAAAATGTGCTCACGTTGCTCGAGTAAGGTAACCCCCTCTGAAAAGCGAAATACAAAAAGACAACAAAACGAAAGAAAGAAAGAAATAAAATGAACAAGAAGAAACGCTCTAGAGGCGCTTTACTTTTTTTTTTCTTGGCCAGTCTTCTGCCTCTTTTGTCTGTTTGCCATTTGGCGCAAAAGTGTCTCGAGAAATGTGTTATTTATGCGTGCCACCAAATCACAAAAACAAAAATACAAAACCAACATACACACATATGGCCGCAAAGTATCTCTGACTCTGGCTACCAGTTCCAGCAGCAGCCTCAGCCTCTGTGGTTGGCTGCTGCTATTGGCCCCTAAGCTCCATTGTGTAATCGGAGTTTTTGGCTATTGCCAACCAGTTGTTAATTTTGCCTGCCATTTGGCAACACACTCTGGCGGCTATGGCTCTGACGATGGCAGGTGTTTTTTCTTCTTTTCCATTGAGCCCGCATTTCATTTCGGCTGCTGTTTCTCTAATCATATTTGTGTCGAGACTTCTCAATGGCGGAAACAGCGCACAATAAATCAATCTCCGAAATCCCAGAAAGGGTTTTTCAACCAACGATGATCTCATGGGTGTGTAACGCCTACAGTTTTTGTGTTGTTTTTCTGCTTGTTTTTTTGTGGATATTTTTTATATCCGTTTTTATAATTTCTCAATTTATAATTTCTACTAATTTCTAGAAAATGGCTGATGTTTAATAATCCACCCTAATACCGCATTCATGCTTGGTTGGGCAATGCCACATTCGTCATTTCAATTAATGACTCTGTGTGTGGGTGGGTGGATTGGATTTTGAACACAGTCCAAGGTCTTTGGATGGCTTTGATTTGGCCCAAAAAGTTCTTGTTTAATCGATTAGTAATTGTTGGCCAGCTATAAAGTGGTAGTAGAATATATTGCCTTCCTCCCTTCCCCTCCACTTCCGATCTATCACACACACACACAGACACACGAATCATTTTCAGCTTCTGCTTTATCAACGGGGGGGTCTCCGCTGTTCCATCAATTAAAACGCTTTCGATTCGCTGCCACATTGACCATGATACTCGGTACTAAGTATTTGTTACAGCTATTGACTTCACCCATACCCATCCGATTACTATTATATTACATATGATTCTGTTTGTATTTTTTATTTTGGTTTTTTGTTTGGTTTTATTCATTGCCGTCCATGCATATAAATGTGCTTGTAATTATCGAGTCAGAAACCATAGCGCAAATATAATTATAGATAATACGAGCACACGAATATAGTATGCCATAAATTGATGTGCTGCATGCCACACAACACACAGAATAGCGCAGCGATAAAACGATTTCGAAATACACGTATACAAAAAATCAGAACACTCTCCAATAATCACGAACAGTTGTTTTTGTTGTTGTGTGTCGTCGTCATCGTCGTCGTCGTCGTCCCCACGAACATTCGCCAGTGACTGGACGGACGCCGACGTTAGGCGTGCGATTAGCAGCAAAAAATAAAAATACAAATATAATAGCCAGCCCAGTCCTCTATAAATTGTATAGTGTAATCCACAAAAATAACTTGTAATATCCTCCAAAGCAGCAGCATTCCCACAAAACTAAAAACAAAACTCTCAGCTGAACTCAACTCAAATGTGATAAATTCAGAAGAAACAAAAAGAAAACAAAACAAAAAGGACATATAATAATATGTATTGTGATAAAACTAAGCAAAGGATAAATAATTCATAATCCACACAAAAAACAAACATTTAAACGACTGAAAAGCAAAAATTATCAAATGCATCAAATCGAAAGCAATAGCAAAAAATAAGCAAAAGCATCTCAAATGATCGCCGTCCTGTCATCGAGCCCGAAACAAGCATCAAGTATTACGAGTAGAAAGCACTCGACAGCATCCATCGACAGCATCTCGAAACTGCAACAGCACCGATTCGCATCAATCTGCAGAACGACATCGACATCGACATCGACATCGACATCTCCTTCTACTCCACCACTGAACTCAACTGTAGCTCTACTGCTGAATGGTAAAACTATTGTCTTCCATAGCATATTATTTGGATGTTGTGTAACTCTATCGTCATTAACAATAATCCATAGTACATGGACATATCCTATCTTGCCATTGCACCACGCATACTTCTACCTAGATCTAAATCGAAATATTGTTCAAATTTGAAGGATATCTGAGTCGATAGTTGTCATTATCATCTAAGAAACAGCCAGACCGCTGTTAAGCAGATACAATCATTCCAATGGCAATCAAGTTTGATGTTTGTTCAATCAATCAGTCAACCAACCAACCAATCAATCAACCAACCGATCGTTTAAGCACTTCAATCAACTACAATCAAATACCTTTGCTGAAAACCTGCTGCTGCTGCCGCTGCCGCTGCCGCTTTCCTAGCAAATAGATCAATCCAATCTATCTGTCTCTTATCACATATATCTCTCTCTCTCTTTCTCTTGCGCATCTATGCATCGTATACTATAGAAAAACAAATTCTATCTCGCATCGTACTCGTAATTGTTGTTGTTGTTGTTGTTATCGTTGTCGCCTACAAAAAAAAGATAATTTTTTAACCGAAACCATCAAGAAAACAACCAAAAGAACAAGCCAAATGCCACGCACCAACAGAACAGAACCCAAATAATCGTCATGCCACAACCAAACACCAAACCACCTCTAATCAAAAATCGAACTCAACGAATCAATCGAATCCAAAAACCACAAATCCTATCATAAGGAACAACTACTAAAAACCACTGCCGATGTCACCACTCTATCAACACGATCTGTCTTTCTCTCTCTCTCTCTCTCTCTCGTTAATATATGTAAAAACTTACAACCACCGCATTATCATGAAGAACATTATCCCAAAAGCAAAGCACAACAACAAACAAATAAATCAAATATCCATAGAAAAAGATTAGATCGTTTTCCGCAATATCCAGCTCTCTCTTTCTGACACTCTGCTTTCATCAATGCGTGTGTGTATGCTTGTGTGTGTGGTGTATGTTTTTGTGTGACCAAAAACTGTTCTTTAAAAGAATGCCTTAATTTAAACCAATTTTCCATTTCTTTTTCTTTTCGTTTATTGAACAAGTTTTATAATTGAAAAAATCGCGTAAAGTTAATTAATTGAAAAAAAAAAAAAAAACAAAAATAAACACAAAAGCAAAATCCAACCAAATGCAAAAAGTGCACAAATGCACACACAAAACAGATACAAAATAAAATAATAAGCAAACCAATCTAAATCATTAAATAAACAATAAAAGCAAAGAGAGAGAGAACGTATCAATTCCGTCGAAGGTAATCCGAAGACTGAACGAGAACGGCAGAACATTTCCAGCAGCATAAAGGGAGGTGAAATCCCCATAGCCACATAATCCCTAAAATGGATAGTATAACGACAATGAGGACAGCCATGGACATGGCCACTGAGCAGCTGATACAATCAATGTCGCAAGAACAAGAACATCAGAGGCAAGAATTCCAGAGGCAACAACAACTGCAGCAACAGCAACAACAAGAACATTTCATATACCAATATCAGCTATTAACGCCCACACATATGCAGCAATTAGCTAGTATTAGTAACTATCAGCCACGACATTCCACAAACACGTCGTCGCCCTCATCCACACATTCGCTGGCCAGCGGTTGTGGCGGTGGTGATGGTGGTGGCAGCTCCAACTCCTACTCAAGCGGCAGCAGCAGCACCAGCGGCATCAGCATCAGCAATAGCAATATCACAGCAGCATACTCATCAGCCGTTCATAGCTACTATAAGAAGCTGCAGCAGCAAAGCCAAGCTAATCCCCAATACAATATTCAACACCATCAGATGGAGCTGCAACAGTCGCCGCTGAGTGAGAATGGTTCACCGAATGCCACGCCAGGTGCCAATACGCCGCCCGACACGACGGGGGCCACATCCACCTCAGCCTTAGTCTCGGCAACGGCATCAGCATCGATCGCTGCCACATCAGCAGCCACATCCCAGCAGCAAGCATTGCCACTGGGCAACTATAAGACTGCCTCCTGTTGGTGCTACGGTGAGTGTGACCTAAGAAACAAAGCAATCAACATCAACAGCATTGAAACTATCAGAAAAGTTGCGCACAACTTCCTATACTACACCCTACATACTCGTAAAAATGAACACCACTTCTCTATCTATATATGACTATTATATATATTGTATGTACATACGTATAACTACTATAACTATCGAGCTACATCGCTACAACAAACCAACAAACAGCAACAGCATCAATCACCACGTCGCCTTCATTCAGCATTCAAAATGCCGCCAGCAACCAAAAAGAATAAATACAAAAAAAAACATGAAAAAACGCCCCAAAAATCAAACAAATCCAACGGCGATCACAGGAAGCTCTAAGCTATAAACGAATTATCCATTAACATTGCGTTGACAATATTTTTTGAGAAAATAATCCAAACAAGATTAATTCACCCAACATTTAGCACAGCACACATCCCGCCACACACGCACACACAGACACTAAGTAAAACCAACAATCAAAAACCCAACAAACACTCATCGAAAACTGAGGAACAGAGAAGCGAAACAAATCGAAGCAGCAGCCACGCACGGCCACAATCGACTATATAAGAAATCTCAGCATTTGCTAATCGCACGCTTTAATGTGGGCGTCCAACTAAAAGTTTGCTTTTGACTTTAACGAGTGTGTATGGTACGGCTTTCCTTTGGTTTTGCGGCGCCCTAGTGATTCATGAGTGTTGCATAAATATTACGGCATGGCATATATTTCGCTTGGGAATTTGCGACACACACAAACATCCAGCATATGTTAGGAGCAAATGGGAGAAATGGGTTACGGAAAGGAAGGGAAGAGAAGAGGAGGTTTAGGAACAGTTTGAAAAGCAACTGCAGTGCTTATAAAGAGTGTTAAATTTCCATTGATTATAGCTTTTCAAATCTTGCCAACTGTTATCCCATCGATGGTAAACATCCTATTCTGCTTAGCGTGGTTATAGTTTGAAGTGGACATAAACCTCCGCCCTGTCCCTGTCCCTGTCCCGTGGTTGTGGCCTAATGAATATCGTGCAGTCCGCTGCGGGATTCGGGCATTTGTTCGCGTGTCACATTTAGCCACATTACACATACGTCGCGTGGTACGCGACAACCACTTGGCTGCAACGAACTTTGCTTCAACTATTTGCGTGCTGCAGATTGCTGCACGGAGGTGTTTTTATTTTTCATGGCAATCGTTTTGGTGCTGCCAGGAGAGAGAAGGACGAGCGGTGGTTGGGTGTGCCAGCTTGTCGTTAGCCTAGTTTCCCGAGTTTTCCACAACCAATCCTGCACACAATGCATATGAAATTAGTCTCCAGTCTGCCTGCCACCGCCCATCAGTGCAACGCCCACTTGTACGCGACAAGCAGTGCAGCCCTCTGGGCGGTCTGGCCAATGTGCTGCAAGTGTTATTTATGGCAGTCACATAATTTAAGCTGCAGCTCAGTGTCAACAGCCAGAGGCAGAGCCACAGCAGCCCTTACGGCATGCCAGGTCCTGGGTGCCCCATAAAAACACTAAGCAAATGGCCAACTTTGCGGGTTCTGCCCCTGCAATATTTACCGTGCAGATTGCAGCCAAATTTTTATTTATTTCTCTTTCGTTTTTATTGCTTTTCTTACACATTTTTTTGCGGTTATCTACATTTGATAGATATCTGAGAGATGCATCCGACCAACTGGCAGTGTTGGAGCTATTTCAATTATTTTAAAGCATTTGTAATTCGCTTTCTGGGAGAAGTGTTAAATATGTGGGCTGTGGTTTGCTTCTCTGCTCATTTCGCTTTTGTTTTCGCCTTGCAAATTCTTTTGCAAATCGCATTTTCACACATGCTTGCAAAGCGGGGCAAATGGTCCAATACGACCAATATGTTGGCCCCTCCCAACGTCCCACCCCCTTAGCACTGCCACAGCAATGTCATCGCTTGTGCGGGGCGGCACCATGTGTGCGTTGCATCTAATTAGAGAAATACTTTTGAAGGACACTTCTGGCTCTCCCTCTGCCTCTGCCTCTGCCCCTGCCTTTGCTTTTGCTGCTGAGTGGCAATAAGACCAAGTCGACGTCGACGACTGGCACACATTTCAGCATATCTGTGTGTTGGTGGAGGAGGGAGGAGGGAGAAAGGGCGAGCGAAAGAGAAGCTAAATTTAAACAAAACGAGTGCCAAGTGGCAAGTGGCAGCGACAACGACAACGGTGGCGCGTCGGTGGCACAGTCTTGGGTCTGCCTCAAGTCAAGTCGAGTAAGGCGGACAAACGGCTGTGGCAGCGCCAGTCAGGTGCAACGCGCTTAGATCGGTGACGCTGTCACGCTGCCGCATGGTCGTTTGTGCAATAGAGCGTCTCCGCTTGACACATTTTATTAATTGAAATTTGTTTGTTTACTGGCGCGGCCCTGGCAGGCGACTTGAGTCTGTGCTGCCCTCTGTACAGTGCCCACCAGCCGGAGGGAACTCTGTGTAGCTTGCTCTGCTTCTGCGTTTGCTAAGCTAAACCATTCACTGTGTACATTATTCATGAAGCTTTGCCATGACACATTCTTTACACTATCTAGTTTTGTATAGTTTAGATTGCCCTTCCTGTCTTTGACACTGTAATGGTTTCTGTACATCAAGAACAGGCCTTTGTTTATCGGTTTTCACTGTACCCGGTTGTGAGGCTGTGGCAATCATTTATCCCTTGCATGATCTTGTCATTGAGTCTGTGATGCCCTGCGACTTGGGTCTGTCACACTCTACGTATAGTAAGCACTGGGTTTCCATTCTAAATCCACCCAAAAGCCGCTGCCCCATATGACATTTTCGTTCATGCCCATTTGCCTTACATAATCTAATTGCTATTTTTGTGTAGTAAATGTATATTTTTTGTATCAAGAAAGCAACCCCCCAATTATAATCTATTATTCTTTATGTTCTCTTTGCCATTTCAGGTGAGTCAGTTTGTTCTGGAATTGAGGTTGAAATTGAAAATAATAACAATAATCATATTCATCATGGTAAGCTTTCTCACACTTTCATTAAATACCATTAAACCCATCTTTGTCTAGCCAAACGATCAACTAATTAAAGCGATTATTAACCACTACTTAAAGAGCGTAGATTCAATGCTATCTGTACCGTTTCGTTTTCGTTTCCGTTGTTTTGTATCTCTGTCTCTGTATCTGTAACTTTGTGCAAGAGCGCGCGCTTTGAGCTTGACTTTTAAAATGAAAACTGAATACAGAAAACTGAATTTGACCCAACGAACATTAAGCTTCGAACCCTTGACCAACTTTTTGCTTTAACTTACATTTTTGCCATACAAAATGTTGTTGTAAATGGTTTCTTTTTTTGGAGCTAGTACCATTGCCACTCGGATGACCTATGTACGTCCGTGCGGTCCAGTCCAGTCCGGTCCGGTCCGGTCCAGTGGAGGAAGTAAGCGGTTCACTCATGTGTTTCGTCGTCATGTGTGTCGCCAGCGCATTCTGTCCGTTGCATCTCATCTCGAGCGCATTTCCCCCTACTCGTCTCATGGCTTGCCACAAACAACAACCCACAATCCACAACCACAACAGCCACCAAAACAGAGCACACAGTCGAACCACACCGCCTGCACCACCATAACCAAAAACCGCCCATAGCCATAGCAAACACAGCAAATAACCAAACAAACCAAACAAAAATTGCAACTAAAAAATGCAACTAAAAACTAAACCAAAATTGAATTTCTATAACTACATTTATAATCAAAACAAAACTAAAATCTAACCAAAAATCGAGTTGAAGTAACGCTTGAAGAACGAATCGCAGTCGTATCGTTGCGAGCGCCCCGCCGAACGAACAAACGATCGTCGCCGAACTGAGAGCTGTTATTAATTATTATTTGTAGAAAAAAGAACGTAGCAAAACTAACCCTAACAGCAGCAGCAACAGCAAACAGCCAGAGCCCCCCGACTAACCAGTACTGGGACCTAATAATATCTATTGAAATTAATAACCGCCCTACTCTACCTTGCCAAAAAAAAAACCCCACGAATACCATTGGTCGCTCTGTGAACCCATTTTGATTCTTTGTTTGCAGGCGAGACAACGTATCACATGAAAATACTGGTGCCCGCGGTGGCCTCAGGGGCCATCATTGGCAAAGGAGGCGAGACGATTGCCTCCCTGCAGAAGGACACGGGTGCTAGGGTAAAGATGTCCAAGTCACATGACTTTTATCCAGGTGAGTCTGCCCTACCCATGATCCCCTTAACGATGCTCTGACTGACTCGATCTGTATCTTGTCTCTTTTTAGGCACCACTGAACGCGTTTGCCTGATCACTGGATCCACGGAGGCCATTATGGTCGTGCTGGACTTTATCATGGACAAAATCCGCGAGAAGCCCGACCTGACCACAAAGATCATCGATGCCGAGTCGAAACAGACGCAGGAGCGGGACAAGCAGGTCAAGATTCTGGTGCCCAACTCCACAGCCGGCATGATCATCGGCAAGGGCGGTGCCTTCATCAAACAGATCAAGGAGGACAGCGGCTCCTATGTCCAGATCTCGCAGAAGCCCAAGGATGTCTCGCTGCAGGAGCGCTGCATCACCATCATTGGCGACAAGGAGAACAACAAGAACGCCTGCAAGATGATCCTCTCGAAGATCGTCGAGGATCCGCAGTCGGGCACCTGTCTGAATGTCTCCTACGCGGACGTCAGCGGGCCGGTGGCCAACTTCAATCCAACCGGCTCCCCGTATGCCACCAATCAGAATGCCATCAACTCGAGCACCGCATCGCTCAACTCGACGCTGGGCACCTCCATCGGTGGAGGCAATTCGGCGGCCAGTCTGCTAGTCAACGGCACCGGCATCAACTTGTCCATCAACCTGGGCGCCCCCAATCCGGCGCCCAATCTGGCAGTTGCCAACCAACTGCTGGAGCATATTAAGGTTCGGTCCCATCCGCTGGTGATTACTGATCAGTGGCGTTCCCACCTCTGGCAGATGACTAACCAACGAATGGTTTCCCCCTTGCAGGTTGCCATGCGCGGCTCCGGCTACTCGGAGACCGTCACCACTGAAGTCTGCAACGCCCTGGGCGTCCTGGCCAAGTACGGAGTCCTCGGCATGGGCGTGGGCGTGCCCCACACCAACGGTGCTCACTCGACGCTGGGCAATTTCCTGGGTGTAACGACGCTGGACCAGCAGACGGCGGCAGCCAATGCGGCCAATGCCAGCAATGTGTTTGGCGCTGTCGGCCAGGTGAATCTTGAGCAGTATGCCGCTGCAGCAGCGGCTGCCGCAGCCGCCAGCCGGCCGACACAGTCACAGCTGGACGCTGCCGCGGCGCAGTTCGATCCATTCCGCCATCTGGGCTCCGCCACGGCGCCGGCCACGCCCGTTTCGCTGAACAACAACAGTTTCGGGCTAACGGCCGCCACGGGAGCGGCGAACAGCGCCCAGTTGGGCGGCCTCAGCAAGAGTCCCACACCTGGGGACCTGAGTTCCAAGGACTCGAAGAACGTGGAGGTGCCCGAGATGATCATCGGCGCAATTCTAGGTGGGCGCCATTACTATTACCCCTACTAAATGCAAAAAAAAATATGCTAAAATGCAAATGCAAACAACCTACCAGAAACTACAGCAACAACACCGCAACTTTATTTACCGAACCCTGAACCCCGAACTCCTCCTGCCCCCGATCCCTCCCAGCACACACCAGAAGCCAATAGAAGGAAAAGCCAAAAGAGTTTCCCCCACATCGCATTCGTATACCACCCACTCAGAGCTTTAGCCATAGATCAGATCCATTAGACATAGCCGCCATTCCAGCAGACTCATCACAGGGCAGACTCTCAAGAGACAGAGAGAGAGAGAGAGACGAGATCTCTGCATTCGATACATTCCGTTCAACATTCTCAATATGATATTCCCAATAAATTCATCCAACTTATAGCGAAATTTCTAGTCAAGTTCTTGCCTCACACACAAACCCGCACGACCCATGATCCATGAGCCATGAACCACTCCCATTCCGATCAACTGAAAGTTCGCACAAGTTTCACACAGATTCACACAGATATCTGAAAAGCAGCAGCAGTTAGCAGTAGGCATTAGCTTTAGCCCCACCCACATTAGGTTGTAGGTTTTTCCCCCACATTTTGTTTTATGTTTAACGAATTTTTCTTACATAAATATATATATGAATACTTATGCCCCCAGTCGGCTAGTGCAATTCTTGGATAAACAACGAGTTAATATTATTGTTGTTGGATACTGTTAAATGTCCTTCAGTGTCATTTATAAGGTCGTTAGGTCATTAGTTTGTAGGTTCACGGCACTCTGGCCAAATCCGCCTTATTCCAGTCTACCACCTACCCCCCAAATCCACCATTCCAGAGCTTATTGAAATGGCTATTGATTATTATGTTTTCCTTTGGTATATCTATCGCAATATCGTAAGTTTCGATCCACTTAACACTTAACTGCTATTAAAACACACAACACTTTCCCCCATAAATACATAATTATATAACTCGTAATCGTATATAATCCACATAATGTCATATTACTATTCTTAAAATATATTTAACATAAATCTGATGCAAATATTCCAGGTCCGAACGGTCGTAGTTTAGTTGAGATTCAACATGTTTCTGGCGCAAATGTGCAAATTTCCAAAAAGGGCATATTCGCACCTGGCACTAGAAATCGCATTGTAACCATTACTGGTCAGCCGAACGCCATTGCCAAAGCGCAGTTTCTAATTGAGCAGAAAATCACCGAGGAGGAGACAAAGAGGGCGCGACAAATTCCATTAACCACTGTTGTGAATTAATATCCAAGTAAACCAATCAACCAACCCCCAACAAACAAAGAAAAAAACCAATCAAACAACCAACCAACCAACAAACAAACAAGCAACACACAACATACAACATAACACCACAGCATACACCTAGGCATACATAGGCTATAGCAAGTTTTTCCTCTAACAAAATTGTTCATTTTCTGTAAGAAGCAACACCAAAAAATGACAAATGGAAAACAAGAAAACAAAAAAACGAAATAAGTAAAGAAAACCAAAATGCTATGAAATATTAAATCTAAAAACTGAAATAAGAGAAAGGGAACTACAGCAATAGAAAAAAACACCAATTGTTATGCGAACTGCAAAAAAAAAGTTAAACACTTAATAAATGTTAATTATGTATTGCATATACCTCTCCTCTCCCCTTTCCCCATTCACCTTTTTGGGTACACTGTTCAAGGCCCCGAGGAGAAATGCTTTAAAGTTTAGAGAAAACAAAGGAAAATCAAACGAGAATGAATACTTGTATAATAATATGGAATAACCCTCTCTACTATAGACGATTGTTGCATTTGTTTGTCACGAATCGAATCGATATCGAAGTCGAAATCAAAGTTAACGCCCAGATCGGATACACTTGCTATACATAGCTAGAAAGAAGGGAAAACTGTTTGGGTTTATTGTTTGTGATGCGGTTGTTTGCGTTGCGTGTTTTGTTTTTTGGTTTTTGGCCCCGACAAAAGCTATATACGACACATATGGGGCATATATACATATGTATATGTTATGTACACACGTTGTTGAGTCTTGTTTATATATTATCCACACACATATGCCCATACATATATATATTTACATATGCCACCACCACCACACACAACCCTAAACACACACTTACACGATACACATAAATATTAGCATTATGTTGAACTAAATCGAGCTGAGGAAAAGGCCAAGAAAAGCCTCTTCTTTTCCGTGTACTGAGCGAGCGTTTTCAGTGAAAACTACAGGTGGTTCTTAACCTCGAAATAAGGTAAATATTTTACTACAAAAGAAAAACAAGAAATACTACGAGTACTACTGATGACAGGCTAGTGAAAAGTGTTGTTCCCCCGAAAATAAACTACTCACATCTTACGTTCTTTCGTTACCGTTTTCTGTTTTCTGTTTCCCGTTTTATCTGTTCTCTGTTGTTGCCCCTTACCCCCACTCTATTCCCCCCTATTGCTTACTGCTGTTAATATATAAATATATACACACGATTCCACAGCTTTAAACAGATATATAGTTGACGTTGATCATGATAATGTTGTTAAGTTTTAGAGAGAGACTGTCTATCCCATACAATCAAGTGGTGTTAATGTGTTGCGCGCGCACGTGAGTCTCCCTTTGGTTATGATTTGTGCTCCTGATTTGTTACTCCTTATACAATCATTGTTTAATACATATATATATTATTTATGACTATGCGATTTGTTAGCTGCCAGTTTGAGAACTGCACCTCTTAATTTTTTGATTTTTGTTTTGTTAACTTCATATTCTTTTGGTAAATTTAGCACATTTGTTTCTTACATTCTTAATCTTAAGTCGTACATTTTCCTCACATCACACTCTTTTGATTGAAACCTTAATTAAAAGAAGAAACAAAAGAACTATCGACGTTTCTCTGTAAAATATTCTCATATGAAAGCATTCATTTAGGGTTTTCTTCATGCCACAAAAATCAGACAATCCACCAAGCGATTTCCCCCTCTTAATTTTAAGTATTGTGCAATTATTAAACATAATTTCGACAAAACATTTCACAACTCCACAACTTTATGTACATATCTAGAATGCAGTGTAAAGACAAACAAAACAAAACAAACCAAAACAAAACAAAAAACAACTTAACATCACATTGAAAAACAAACAAATGTTCCGCCTAATCATATATACACACACATACACAAAGACAAGGAAAAGTTCCCATACCCATCCATACAGAGAGAGAAATGCCTATCTTGTAATGAAATTTTTCTTATTTTACTTTATTCCTTACACATAATTAAGTTTAACCTTTCTTTTTGATTAATAAACAAAGACAATGATGAAACGAAATTTCAATAAAATCTAAAAAAACATGCAACGTTTTATGTGTTTAATTTAAATTTAAAAAGCGCACCTGGCGCACCAACAATCCGCTCGCCCAGCCCACCCAACACCACCCCTCAGATCACCCACTAACCCAAACAGCCACAAAACGTATCCTAAAAGCAGTCTACAACATTATCATGACCAATCAACAATCAATCAAACAACCAACCAGCCAATCAGTCAGTCAGTCAACCCAACCAACCACTCTTCTTGATACGCCCTCAATATCAATATCAATATCAATTTCAATTCAATCACTGAAAACGCTCATCAATGTAGGGAAATGAAGGGATATTCAAATGGATAAACAGCAAGCAAAAACAGCAACCAATCCTAAGCTAAGTCTATGTTTAAGTTGAAAAGTTGTTCTTATTAATTTTTTTGCTATTATTGTTAAAACTTACATACCTACAATTGTTCTTATTTGTGCAATATTTATATACTACGATTAAAATATGAAATCAAACGGATAACTAGAGGAGATAATTGTGACAAAACAAAAGAAATTTTGTCTTAAAAAATAACTATTACCTAACTACCATTAATGAAGGGAAAACGAAACAAAAAATGAAAGTAAATTTGAAAGTACAGTCGTAAATGCTAGTGTGCCTTGAAATATGCATTAACATCCAAAAAAAAAAAAAACAAAAGAGAGAAATATCGGAAGGGAATAAATATGATGTTGGTGTTTTAATTGAAACTATTATTATTTTATGGAAAACATAAAGAAAAAAACAAAACAGCAGAACGTCGAGAGAAATGATAAGCAATAGATCGTCTAAAAGTAGGAATTATCCAGGCAAAACAGCAGCAGCAGCAGCAGCAGCAGCAGCAGAAATCCACTAAAACAAGAATCACAACAAGCATAATACACAGATCCCCTTTCGTCCACCCCTCCACCCACAAAAAAAACCCAGTCAATCAGTCAACCAATCAGTCAACTAATAACCTACAAAATTCAACAACAAAACGACATTTAATTTTCCTCTTTTTCTGGTCACATCTCAAAATCAAGAACGGGAGAGCAACGAACGATCCTATCAGAGCCACCCAGAGAATCCGAGCACCACAAGAACCCCAACTAACTCAGATACATACCCTCCCCCCAACAAAAACACACAAACACGCCGATACACACACATGCATACGTCCCCCCATACATACACACATTCGTACTAAATATCAGTATCACATGCGCGCGTGCTCACTGAGTTATGTTTAATGTATGAGTTTTATATGATATATAAACTTATAGTAGAAGAAAAGGAGATGGGAGAATAACCACAAATATATATACTTATATTTGTACTGGATCTGTGATATGTATTTAAAGAAAAACAAAAAACAAAGCAAAAAGAAAGCAAAAATATATTTATTAAACGAAGAAGAAGTCAAATGAAACTTGAAATTAATTATGAAATAATTAATTTTTTAATGAGACAACTAAGAGAAAAGAAAAGCTTTACTTGAAAAGCAAACAAATTCCCCGAAAATCAAGTTCTCAATTCATCAACAGAAATATGCATGGACACAGTTCCAAGTCGGAGGCCACACCACACCACACCCCATACTATATGCATATGTACGTATTCATTGCAAAATCTTTTGCCGATTCCAACTCCGTTTCTCAGCAAATGTCCGATATATGTATGTACTCCTTCTATGTTGCCCCTCGTCGTCGTTAATTGTGGGTTGTGTGTGTGGGCTGAGGGCTGGGGGCTGAGGGCGTGACGAAAGAGAGGACTGAAATAAGCGGTGCAAAGGTTCAGGTTTGGGATCAGGTCCGAAGATCTGTGTCCTGCGCTTTCGACGTGTTTATGCTTGTTTGGATTTTTATTGTTTGAACGCGTTTGTTATTTGCTGTACAAATTGAAGCTTCACGCATCCCGCGCCATCATAGTTCAGGTCGGAGATAGGACTGTGGGGAAGATCCATCCAAAGGGTTTTGGATGATTGCATGATTGCTTTGTGCTCACCCTTCAATTGTTAATGCCAAGCACCCCCACTTCCCGCCCCACAAAGCCACTTATCAGACACATTCTGCCATTCAACCCAATCACAAATATATCGTCACTTCAACTCAATTCTCCACTGCAATCATTATACAAGAAACAAAAAGATAAACTTTGGATAGACGTGTGCATTAAATTAATGTTTTTTGTTCACCGATTCACATAGTTTTTTTATTAAAGGCATGATGAGTAATAACAATAAGAAGAAAAGAAGATAGGATGATTGGAAGAAAGGAAAGTAGAAGGAAGGAGAAAGTAAAAATAAAGCAGCTGTTATTTCAACGACGGAGTCTATTAGTGTTAAAGTAGTACCACATAAAATGCAACTTTTATTAACTATATACATACATACAGTACATGAATATTTAACGTAATTCAAATTTGACAAAAACAAAAACCAAATGGAATAAAAACAAAACAAAATAAAAAAGAAAAGAAAAGAAAAACAAAAACAATAATGAAAATCCGTAATTTGCTAAAGATACAAAAATATGTAAAGAGGAGTTCAATTTATCAATCAAATCTCGTATAGTGCATACATATATATATGGAATCATTAATACATACATAAAGAACATAAACGAAGAAGAGATAAGAAAGAAAGAAGAATCGTTAAATATAATTTGTTATGCTTTGCCACCCCCACACTGTTATTAGAACAATTAAACATTAACGAATGCATATGCATTACATATACATATATATATATAAATATACACACCTATATATAGACATACACATACAATATATATGTATATGAACAACCCAAGAGATGATGTTTGAAGGTACGACAAGTACTAACTGAATCATAATATAACCTCACCATAGCATTGTATTGTATAAAGCTATTCGATGGAAGACAGCTACGCAAGAGGAGTGTGTTCCGTTCATTCGATAACCACAACTGAACCGAACAGAACAGAAGAACATAACACAATTCAACATTAGTGAAATATTAATAAAAAAAATATATATATATTTAATATACATATATATACATACATACATACACTAAAAGTATAAAAAGTAGTCGTTAGTGTGATACATAAAATAATATTAAACAATTCAAGCAAATAAAAGCGGTTTAACGATTGAAACTTAACAAGTCTCAAAACACCCCCTCCCACTGGGAGTAATCTGTTGGGCAGCACTTTGACAACATCTTCAAGTGCTTAAGCTCCTTCCCTTGGATCCCATTTACATATATATTTTCTTTATTTTGTTTCCTTAGCTAATGGGTCTGCGCACCGGAAACGGTGGCAGCCCGAAGAAGGGTTGAAAAATTTACATTAGCGATAAGGAATGCTTCGGATATTGCTGTGCAATATCTGACTCCCTGGAAAAGTGTATCCATAGATTAGATACAAGGAAGGAACGTAGAATAAGTCATAACTCATGCAAGTGCATCACAGTCATAGCGAAGAGATAAGCCCTCTGAGAGTCACAACACCATTCGAAATGCAATATACACGTATATTCAATGTACAAAATAGTTAACTGAAAATTAAACTTTGGATCGATCGTCAAACACCAAAAAACAAGTCGAATGTTTTCGAAATTTCTTCTCATACAAGTAGATACTTTGTCGAATCCAATCCAAGAAGTAGCATACGTGAGTACCTTAGCCAACGAGAACAAATGTAAAATAAAAGAAACGGCCTTCACGATTTTTTGCAGCAGCTCCCCAAAAGTCCAATATTTCGCTCAACGTAGGATTTCCGATTATGTTCACATTTTAAACAAACAACTAGATATGTATAACCGTAGCAGTGAGAACGCGAAGAGGTTAATTCGATATCATTACTTTGCAAACAACTTCTTAACGTTTCTTAGGAAAATAGTACATGATAGAGGAAATATATGGAAACACTAGCACCCCTCTTCGCACAAAGTCAAATTCCGTTGCACTCTCTATAGGTATTACGAACAGCAGCAATACGTTTCGATCTCTCAATAGTTATATAGAAGACACAATGAAGAAATTGGCGTGGATCGGTGGTCATTCGGAAGCGCGGAACATTTAGCAGAAAAACCAACATCATGGAAACTCATTCAAAAGTAAAAGTACTAAATCTTTTATGATTTGACTGTGATAATAATAATGACAAAACGAGAAAGGTAGAACGGAGATGGAGAACAAATTAAACAAATATAGAGTATATATAAATGTATGTACATACAATACCCCGCGTATATAGGCGAAGCAAATGTAATATTAACCTAGGTGCGATACAAATTGAAGGCTCAGGCTCCCCCAACTAGGCAAATCGAATTCGGAAATTCGTTTGCCAGATGGTGGAGAACACCGAATGAGAACACACAATGTATTTGCAGAGAGAGAGAGACGTATTTTACTTATACATATTAGCAAAATATTTAAATAAAATTTTAGCAAATACCAAGCCCCCTCTCGGAATGCGAATGAATGCCAGCCCCAGTAAGCTCGAAAGAAAATCGAAAAATAATGAATAGAAGAATCCCAAAATGCAAAATGATGGAAA